CCAGCGTTTGTTTAATTGGTGCTTAAGTCTCTTTTCAACGACTTCCAACAGGTGAAAAATGCGCACTCAGCTGTAAGATCCTCAAATATTTTCAGAGACTCGTCACTGAACTCTGATTAGCCTTTCTTCTTTAATATATTCAATACTTTCTTATTAGGTGATAATGTACCAAGACCTTCAACTACGATCAGAAGCTATTTTATAAATCAGATACGCTCTTGCGAATTCTTGAATCCTCTAAGAATGCTATTCAATATGTGACAAATTATTTCCACAGTCACCTGAACATGCAAGATGCCTCTCCTTGGCTCTCGACAGAATGAAGACCCAGGTAAGTCACCCATAAATTAAATCTAATGCTTTTAGACCCTCAAAGTGATTGATGCCTTACCCTTTGGATCGATGGAACTATCCAAAGTAATGGAACTATCCATAGATTAATACAACAATTACATTTTTACCTTATGATCATCAATGTCCATTTTATTGTTCATGTCTAATGGGTAGAGGAGAACTCAAGGATGCAACAATGTTGATATCATACTTAAGAAAAAAAGTTGAAGGAGGGAGGCTATACAATGAGTTTAATATTAAGTCTATTATGTTCAAAAACTTGTAATTGCTTGAATTGAATTGTTTTCCTTTTTCCCCAAATGTCCTTCAAGCAACCATTTCCTCAAAAAACTTTTTGTTGCAAATGTTTTACCCAGGAATTGTTAAATCTGGCATGGTGTCCGTAAATACTGTTGAGTTTTTGTATGACGCTGTAGGACATACTGATCAAGTCAAATTTTCTCAACTAAATTCCACTTACTTGTTAATGTTCGTCAAGTAATTTATTTGTTTTTATAAGATCCCTCATTCCCTTGAGCTGGATATAAGAGAAGAGGCATTTTCAGTTCTGCAGGACACAGCACAAGGTTATATCGCATTTTATTGTCTAGAAATATTGTTTTTTTTCGTGTTTTTTGTTGAACGCTGTTAAACAATGTTGCAAATAAACCAAAAAAGGCAACCCAAAAAATAGGAAGTTATACGAAGCGATCCGAAAGTATTTTCCAGTCTTTGCCTTTTTTCAAAGCTGATATATTCATGCCTGAGTTTTCATTTAATGGCTTTACTAGTAACAATGTTTGAGAAAAGCAATTACTTATCTAATAGTGACTCACAATTTGGCTGAGTTTTGCCCAGCAGTTAGGCTTTTTAAAAACATCTAAAATTCTTCTCATAAACCAAACCTTCTATATTCTACCGATAGGCTTATTTTTATCGACCATATAATAAACAAATAATTTTTTGCACCAAAGTGAAATAGATTGTTAAATACAACTGATTACGATGCACCCAGTTTTCGTTTGTATGCGGGTTATCATATCATTAAACAATTAAACTGCATAAAGAAGTAAAGCGACATTTCATTTTTCCATGAAGCATACAGAAGGTTACTAGGAATGAAACATCATTTGACAAGTGAAGCAAACGATTTCATCAACTCTTGGTGAGCAATTGAGCAGACAGAAATGAGTCCTTTGCAGCCCTCACAGAAGGTCTTGGTTATCCTTTTTAATATCAATGCAAGAATTTCTCGCTATTATCCATAGCTTTACATTGAGTTTTTTGTTTTAGACGTAGAAAGCTATAGCTCGGTTAATCTTAGCTTGATAGCAGTCATCACTGATTCTACAATGCTTGCCTAAAGTCTTGGTACACTAACGTCATTTTTCAGGAGCAAATTTTACAAAACGACGTAGGGGACTAGGAAGAACGATTTTTCTGCGACTTCTATGTTTTCCTTAAATTATCAACATTGTTTAGGGGGGAAGGGGGTGCGCAAATAGGAGAATCAGGAAAAAAAATTGAAAAAACATAAAAACAGAACGCAAATTGCTGGGTATTTCAAGTACTTTTGGCATTGATTGTAGGTTTATTGTTCAACAAACAGGCCTAGTCAATATATTAACGTACTTGTTATTTCAGCTTAGTTGATTCTATAGCAAAGATGGTGAAATGGCGAAAATAAATAAAAAATGCCTTTTTCAATAATTAAAACTTCTGCAACGTTATTTAACTAATAGCATGTACTAGAAAGCACGATAAACAGCTTTTTCTCTAATGAGCCATTTCTTGCTTGTCCCTCTAAATGTTTCGATCATGAGTGACAAGAGATATGCTTCATTATTCATAGTACATAGCACATATTCCCTTGATATATGTAAAGAGAGATTAAAATTCAAACTAAATCTATGTTTCATATGAAAAGGTAGTTGTTAAGTTAAATACTACATAAGCTATTTGAGAAACTCTCCACGTGTAGCAAAATTAAATTATTTGAATTGCAATCGTCAACTAGGTAATTACTCTGTTTTGCACTATGGTGAACGGCGAGTTATATGTATTGTCTATAAGAAAATTGCATGTCAAACAATTTCTGTTGGAAATTGGAGAACTCAATTACTAAATTTTCGTTTTGCGCTGTTCTGTTATCACTAAAGTTGTAATTGTAATTTCAGCAAAATTAAGCACATCTTTTTCGTTTCTCTTTTAGAAACCTCCCAGTTACTTTTACTTTCATTGCCCATTCATCTGTTGTCTTTCCAGATTTTCTATTTCTTCTTTTATATGGTCAATCTTCTTTCTAATGAGTTCTTTCTTCCATGGTGGTACGTTTGGCGATTCTTGTTCTTCTCGTAATGACTTAATTTTCCTCTTTCTAACTAATATTGGATCTTCGGAGGTCATTCTACAAAAAATTGCGCAAGTCTTAGACAAAAACGTCCAGTTTTACATTATATTTACATCCTAAAATATCTCAGAGGTTTAAGCCAAAAGTTGCAAAATCAGTGGCGTACCCAAGGGGGGGGGGGGAATAGGGAGGTCCGGATCCCCCACTTTTCTAAAATATGATCCTCGAGATTTGTCCAAAAACGATGTAAAACTCACTGGGGGAGGTGTAGTTTATTGTATGCTTGTGTCAATAACAATTGTCAAATACTTTGCTATTTACTGTTGTTAACATGAATCAAATAATGGCGGAAAATTTTGCAAAAGGGCGTTTCCCCGCATTTGCGAGTGTTTGAAGGGCGTGGTCCAAAAAAAATTCTGGGGACTCCGCCCCAGACCTCCCCCCCTCACTACTCCGGCCCTGGGTACGCCACTGTGCAAAATAGAACCTTTTTCAACAGAAATTCGCTGATATCAGTTTTTCGAAGACAGCAATTAACCTACGTTACAAATTTTTATGTTGGTATTATCATAATTTATCTTTTAAAAGATTTACAAATGCAAATCTGCCTGCTGTTGATGGAATCTCAGATCTGCAATCAAGCGACATTCAGCAAATTTTTATTAACTGATTGACGAACAAAGTCAAGTGGTTACAAAGGGCAAGCCCCTAAGCCAGCTGTCCCCTTTATGTTTGACTTTGTTCTTAGTTGTGGTAAAAACTTTGTAAATACTAGCTCTTCGGTTGCCGTAAGGGTAAATCAATGGTCACGACATTGCATTTCAAATACGAAGTTATGAATAAAGAAAACCACCAGTGCTGTATTTTCCAATAAAGCAGCGGGAGTGTACGAAACACAACTCGCAAGAAAAAGTAAAGTAATGCTTCTCCGCCTGGGCCACAACTCTTGCATTGTATATTGTATGAGGCTCTGGTACCAAGGGTTATAACACCAGAGAAACATTTTTCTCTTAAAATTTCTACAAAAATAAATATATATATGGTTTAAAAAGGCCTTTATAAAAGCAGGTTCACAAAAGACTCTCACAATAAATTTTACAGTGCACCTTAAGATCTTTAAAGACTTGCTTCTTTAAAACGAACTTACAGTTTCTGTTCACGCTTGGCAAGAACCTCTTTCTTCCATTCAGGTAGTCCATTAGTGTTTCCATTCACCTGAAATACAATAAATCCATAAAAATTTGGGCCGAATGCAGGATAAATAGAAAGATTCAATACCGGGTAGACTACATATGTGCAAGAATTAAATAATTCAGTGATTCAGTATAGATAATCTTCAATTGAAAACTGGCAAAAACATAAACAAATTATAAGCACTCAATCGATAGCCTTCACTGGTAAACAGCTATTGTACGCTCTATTTTCCTATTTTACTAAAGGTTTTCTTAAATGTCGCAAATGCTTAATCACCAAGCACTAAACAACACACACAAATGCTCAGTCAGCACAACATAAAAAACTTTATTAGTTGTTCACCTCGTTCTTTGAAAGCTGCTCTTCTTCCATCTTTTTGGACATTTTCGTCATGATCAACTGCTGTTTCCACTGAGGGATTGGTTGTCCGGTACTTTTGTCCACTTTTGGCACGTGGACAACCGGACGATAATTTTGTTCAATCGGTCCCTTGTTCGCATTCATAATGTACCTATTTATCAAAGATATTATTTGCTTCAAAGTTCTTATGGTTCTTATCCAACCTGGTAGGAAGAGATTTCACCAAAACTTTAGTCTAAATTTCTAGTTTATTGTTGTAAATTTCTTATCAAATACAGTATCTTTTTCCTACAGTCGTATATCATATGCTTATCTTTGTGTTTTGTCATTCCAGTATATAAGAAATTAATTGTTCTACAGACGACGATGTCAATTTATAATATCTTTACTTATTTGAATATCAGAGACTTTGAGGTTGTGTGATTAATGAGATCTAGAGTTAATATGTGTGCCCTGTGAATAACAACCTTACAGGAGTTCAGAAAGTAAATTAGAAGAATTGTACGAGTATCATAAACTTGGGTTACGTACTAACATTAAAAATTGTCTGAGGAAAATTGAATTGATAATGAAATTACAAATATGCTTTGATCTAAGAAGGAAAAATTCAAAGCTTACCTGCTCTAATTTTGGGGTATTCCTCCTTTTAAAATTTTGCCTTACTTTAGCTCATTCAAACTTCAAACAACATGGAAGAGATCCAGGCTCTAACAATGCCCTTGGAATTTCTTTATAACGAGCCAAACTCGAGTTTAAAAAATTAATGACTTTCACCAAAATGTAAGCAAATGTTAACCGCAGCTGGTTGTGTAATTGTCGATGAAATACCTAACTGACATTGAAAACGTACAACCATGAACAGCTTTAATGATTTTTACTAGTTACTTAATTCATTTTGAGATCTTATATTAAGATGTGTTTCACTTACAGTAGGAATGAATTTTGAATGCAATGAATTAAAATGTAGAAGCGACAATAGATGAATTTGTATCCAACAATGTATGAAGCTACATAGCTCGTATCTTTCTCAAGACGCACCCAATTTGATCAAATCAATGATTTTGATGACTTTTCCAAATCAGCCAATATGTTTAAACTAGAACTGAATTCAACAGTATTGGCTCTTAGTTGATGTCATCGATTTTGCATCTTGCTATCAACAGATCTTCGCCACAAACGGACCTCTGAGTCTAATTCTCCGAGTTGAAAAAAACCTACACTGAAACTTTCATGTCGCTTGGACTGTTCGGTTACGAATTACCACGCTTGAAATACGTAGATATCTATAAAGATTTGAATGTTTTCACTATTACAGTAAATTCGAGTTCATCTGCAATTTAGTTCGTTCTACTTTAAAATCTATATCTTTTTGGCCTGACATAGATTCACGCGAGCTTTATCTTTTTGGCCTTCAGTTAAGACCGTATTGTTTTTAAAAACATTCTCTTTTTCGCCAGAAAACCACGTTTTTCAATAGAGAAACAAATTTTCTCAAAACATGTTTTTTGTGCTAGTATGACTTTATCCAGAAGAAAGACACGTTCTTTTCGGGACTTGCTATTTTGACATACATTGACAGCGGTCAAAGTCCATTGCGATTTCTTGCTTACCGAGCACCGATGATCTTCGGGTCGAGATTTGCATCGACAGCACAGTATTCAGAAATGGCGGATTTTCGTGTCCGCTGTAAGTTCGGGATCTGATTTTTTGTATTAGTAATAGTTTTTTACTTGTAAATACTTTTATCGAATCAGAATGAATTGAGTGAAATGAATATAGTATGGATTGCCAGTTTTTTATTTGATTTAGCTGCAAGATCACATCGGTGATAGTGATACACTCCATTCATGCTCCATTGTGACCCCAAGGTCTGACAATGGGAGTTTTCAACTTGCTTTTGGACTGCTTTTAGAATAGATTGAAATTTATTTGCTGTTTTATATTGCATCCAATTTTATTTTTGACAAGGACTCAAAACAGCTTTAGCCCACAAATGAGGCCAAAAGCAACCTGAGCACTGACAAGCCTGAGATGGAAACTCACCGAGATTGGCAATGAATTCAAAGATTTCTGAATATTACAACTGGAATGCTGTAAAATTTGAAGCACAAAATGTTCTGCTGTAAGTATGTGTATAACGACTATAAAATTTTACTAGAATGCAAGAAAATATTTAGTATACATGGGCATTTAGTGCATTTAAAATATTTAGTATACATGGGCATTTAGTGCATTTAAGATGTTTAGTACACATGGCGGAGGCTAAATGTTTTATTTAAGGGACTTAGTATGGGTCTTGCTGGAATATTGTTGCTTCATTGAGATAAAATTGCCTGATTGGACCTGAAATTTGATATACTGTTACTTTATGTAGAGTTTGGACAATATTATTAACAAATTTCAATGACATAGAGGCTTATAATGGCAATCGTTGCCTTACCTGATTGGCTGAAGAAAGAAAATAATTCTTTATGGTGAAATAAAGCCTTGAGATATTTATCATTTTAGAAATATATCTGGTGCCTATTTGAATTTGATAAAAACTCTTTTCATAATGCAACCAATGGAATCAAGGACCAATCAGGTAGGGGACAGGCTAGATATCAAATTAGATTTGTAACATGCATTTCAGAGACTCATACCATAGGTAGATAGATGTAGATGTAATAGATTCTTGTCTAGCAGTTTAAATAACAAAGATGGTACAACCAATTATTTTGATACAATTCTATCGATAAAATAGTTACTCACTGTTTTGTTTTTAGCCGTTATGGTATAAGTCTATATTTCATTCCTACCGAGGCCATCCCAAAGACACCTCAGGGTACTTGGTCAAAGATATTTCTCACCCCTGTGAATTTACAATGAATTGTTTCCCCTTCCCAGGGCAGTTGACAACATGTGGTCTATGAGAATATACAGCTATACTGAAGATAATGTTTGTTTTCAGCTTTGGGCATTTACTAAACAGTTTTATTGATCTTCAGGCTGTCTAGAGGATGGTAACGTTAAGAATAGAACAAGACATTGCTCTCATATTGAAAGAGCATACAGACAAAATGAGGGCACTTGTGATGTTGCTGGATTTGTTATTTTCTCTTTCAGGTTTTTGTTGAAGCCATCATAAAAGGCCCATGATTCCTTATACCTTATTAATGCAGTATAATGTGACATGGATGCACTCCACAATGTAGCTCCAACCAGATGATACCTAAAAGGTAGTCAGAATAAAAGGTATTGAAAGGCCTCTCCATGAAAAAGTTCATTGTTTAAAGTTAACTCTGGGGCACAATGCCCCCTGGTTTGTACTGTTATGTTTATCATTCATTAGAAAGGGCAATTTCATTTGTGACTCGATTGAAATAAGATGAATAAAGAAAAGACTGTAATTGCACATTTCCTGACAAGCAAGTCAGCAAAAATAGCCCCTGTTTGCATGTCCACTGCTCCTAAAATATACGCACAATCATTTTGGCAAATATTGTTTTGAATATTGGACATGTTCAAATTCATTTTAAAATTTACCTGACTAACGTTCGCTACTCTGTTCTGAAATTATAAGGTGTCTTCTTGAGAACACCTTGACGGTTTGAGAAACCATAAAAAATGACATAAAACGTGATACAATTTTCTCAAAACAAACCTTTGTCCATTCAATAGTCTGATACACATTGGGATATTTTCAAATGGTAGATTGCCATTCTTGCTAGGGAGGTCAACTTGTACTGGCAACAAGGGGGGTATTTCACACTTGATGAATTTCTTTGCTTCAAATGACCTTTGACCATTGCAGTAAAATTTTATTTCACTTGAAGAGAAATAAATCACTGTTAATAAGTTGAAAATATTTTATTCAAAATAAAATTGATACTGACCTGTATATCAATATTATAAATTTTACATTATCAACAATTCTCTTTCACCTTGCAACTTCATAAAGTGTAGGAGTTTCAATTTATTCTTCCCATGAGCTGCATGATTGAAATCAAATCTGCTTTTTATCAACTTAACAGGGAATCTCTTTCAAATGTAGAGAAATCCAACTTCTTTTGCAAGCCTTTTAACCCTCTATGATGTCTGAGTCACGACATTCAAACAGTTTGATTGACACTTGTATATCTTGTGTTTAGATTATGTTAATAGTTCTATAGCCAAATCATAGTTAAGGGAATAATATCACAAGTCAATAGAAAGCAATTATATATGTTTCTTACACAGGTCTCAAGGCCCTGAATCAAAACATTTTAACCACTAAAGTTCATTAGGGATGGCTCAGTTGTAACAAGCTTGACTACAAATCTAAAAGGACCAGCACAATGCTTCTATAAGCTTCACTTGGTATTATATTAGAAGTACGCTTCTACAAGCTTAGCTAGATACAAATATAGAAGAAAAGTCAAAGACAACTTGTTATTTTCATCCCCTAGGTATCATTTTGATCGTCTCTTTAATCCTTAATTAGTTTGATCAATTTTTGAAAACCTACTTTTTTCCGGTTTCTGTGTTGAGCTGCTCACTAGGAAATGTGAGGTCGATTGGAAATGACTCTCCTTGCATTTTTCGTCCACAGCGTGACAAGGAACCGTTCAAAAGCCATTCATTGACAAAAGATGTAACATCATCTGCTAAATACTGCGTTGATCCAGGCAAACGAGGGAAAAGCTTGAATGTTTTATTCAATACACCTTGGGGGCATGCTGGACTAGAGCAAGTGGATCTAATCGAATGCTCAAAGGCGAATGAGAGATAACGAATAAACAACTCCTGTTCATTACCATACATGTTTATTGTGTTGTTGACTGGTTCTAATCCATTCATTTTGGCAATGTGCAACTTAGCTTCAAGATACTGGCACAGCGGCACGAATCTAAAGACTTTAGCTATTTCATCATTGTATGCCATGCTCCAAGCTGCACGATATGCGTTTGAATGTGCGAGATTTGCGACTGCTAGTAGCATAAGCCAATTATCAACTGGGCAAGTATTGGAGAGCTTGACAACTCTGTTCCCTGTTGCAATAGATCCTCCCCATAATGGTATCGCTGACCGGTCTGCACTGCAGGTAGGCTTTGCAACATTTTGTCCAGGACGGCTTGCAGGCGCACTTTCATAAAATTCTTCGGGTACTGGCGTTGAATTTGCTACATTTTCTGACTTGACCAGATCTCCCGTCACGATGCTTACTTCGACTTCTTTTTCTTTATCTTCACTGGACAGCTTGAACTTTTTTGACTCGCGAAATGCACTAGCTGCTTGACCACAGCGACCTCGAGACCTCCAGTGTTCTTGTTTGCGCTTGCGAGAGTTGTTTCTTTTTAATGGTAGAATTTTGTCCTTTGTTCCTGTCCTGTTTTGGATAAGGGCCTGCGACTTGCATGAGGTCAATGGGATACTTTGACTCGGATCTTTAAGAAGAGTTTTATTGACTCTTTTCACCATATCATTTAATGTATCTAACGTTTCTTTCAGCGTAACTCTTTCATGACACTCGAAGATCTTGTTCTTTAATGTTTCTAAAGAAGAAATACATTTACGACGAAGGATTTTTGCCGATTGCGATTTCAAAATTTGAAATGATTCATAATTTTCAAATTCATCCAGGGAGTCTCTCTCTTTGTATTTATTTACATTGTCTACATTGTGCCCGATATTTACTTCGACCCCGGTATCGTTCTCTACAGAGTTTTTTTTCCTTATTTTAGTTTCTAATGTCGCATCCTCCAGACAAGCAGAATCTGCCAATGCACGATGTAGAAGCCGATCATCAACTTTCAGAAAGTCTTGTTGTAAGTACGCAGCTGGCAAAGTATCCTAATCAATAACTGGAACGTATTTGAAGACGTAAAACATGTGCTTACATGGTAACTTATTCCGGCGCCAATCCATACAGTCGCATCGAGGGAGTTTCAAGTCGCAGGAGTAAACCTTCTGATCATTTGAAGATTTGACTTCGAACAATTTATTTCCGATATCTGTTCGCAGCAAGTTCTTATTCCCGTTAAAGTCAGTTTCAGCATTTTTTATTCGAGGTAAACAATGCTCAATAAATTTTCGTGGTCGCCCTTTAAGAAATGGGGGGACAAATGAGCCGTAAGACCGTATTCCATTTGTCTCTCTTGATTTTACATTTGCTGTCAGGAACTCTCTGTATAAGTGTGGTAGAAATTTGTCGATTACAAGTGATATTATAGCACATAGGGATTTTTCTGCAGATTTTTTGAGAAATTTGTATTTTAAAAGCTTGTTTAGAGACTCAGCTCCATTGTTTGTGTTAACATTTCTGTCTAGATCGCTCTCTCTGAATGCGCGTGCCCAGCGTTCTGGGCAAGACAACCACCACTGGTTGATGTACTCTCGAACGTTAGGTTTCGAATTCCAAACATGGGTAGATTTAAGGTTATCAACAGAAAGTTGAAAAGGATTAGTGTTCTCTTCATCATTTGCTGGGGCGTCGGCTACTGTACGTAAGTATCGCAGTAACTTTTTCCTTTCTTCATGACTTAGTGTTGACTCCTTTCGTTTGGTCCAACGTTCCCAGGCTTGCTCTCTGTGAAAAGCACATATCAGTACTTTTGTTCCGCATTCTGAGAATACTGTAAATGTAAAAAATAGTATCAATGCTACTTATATCTTTTATACTTATACTGATAATGGTGTCACTGTTTTGTGTTCTATATTTTTACTATAAAACCTTTACAATTGAAGATGAAGTTGAGATACTTCCGGTGCTTAAAGGTATCGGGACAAAAAAATGAGAATACCTCTCATTGCCTTGGCCCGCGAGGAAGGCCATTGAAATCATCGAAGAAATCTACGTACCCGACTCAATAGCGTTTATTTCAATTTGGGAATAATCACACATGAAGAATTGTGGTTTCCAGCTTGGATTCCAATTCTTCAAAACAAGCAATGCCTCTTCAACCGACTCTGTATTTTCTTCTTGAGTGATAAATTCCGCTGAAACAAAATTTTGATATCTAAATTATTATAAAGAATCAGAAATATGAAAATTATTTTTTTCAAAAAAGGGTTTTTGAAATAGATTTTTCTAACATAATTTTCTTATATAGAGGTACCTTTTAGCAAAACACAAGGTCTCTAAGAAATGCGTTTCTATTTTTCGGGTTTTTACTGTATCATAATAACAAAAAGGGAGCACAAACTTAAGTTCTTGATACCCACTATGCGACGAGCATGTTTTTGGAATGGCATCAAATGGCATCATGGCATCAAAATCCCGGTCGTTGGGAAAAAGATCATAATTATAACTGCGTGTTGCGGAGCTGGGAATCAAGCCTATATTTAGTTAATTTGAATTTGAATTTACCTGCAACTTTGTACCCAGCATTTGTATTTACGATGACAAAGAACAAAGGTAACGCGTATTTTGTTGTTTTGTATGTTGCATCCATCAAGCATATGTTATTACCGTAGTTTTTCAACAGGTCTTGCTGCCATGGTTCTTGGTGGACGTAGAGTAGCTTTTGATCAAATTGTCTGGATTTTATTTGGTGCGGATTGAATTTGCTAATTGCGGTTGAATTGTCACAATTGGGGCTGTTCAAGTCTTCTTGAAGCCTGTCTTCTCCACCATCACAAATTTTACTTGCTCGGAAGGAAAACTTTCGTTCAGGGTCTTGTTGCTCCCATTCTTTGATTCTCTGCTGTAAATTTACCTGGTCCATACAGCTAAGTTTCTGTTTCGTGGCAGCTATATACATGTGGTTTGCAATGCACCTATCTCTTGGAAAGAATGCGGTGTTAAGTACATCTGGCTTTCTGCTGGTGTGTGCAAACATATCATTTAAGATAAAATCTTTCAGCAGCTCTCTCATTGTCTGGACGTCGGATACACCTATAAGAGAATAGGTATATTCTTTTGCCATATATTCTCTACACTAGATCTCACATGGAGGTATTAAATAAATGACGAAAAACATTGTTTTGAAGATAAAGGCAAACATCATTAAGGAATTTGTTACTCCGCGTATATTTTCTCAACCTTTTTTTTTCTTTGTCTTGACGTTAGGCAAACTTGTCGCGTAGTTGAACATCACTTATTACGATTGATTGAAGAGTTTGTGTTTTGTGAGTAGATGGTCCTGAATTCATAATTTTCGCAGAGAGTTTCTCACGGAGTTTCTATTTTCTCTTCCTTTTAATTATTCACAAAAGAGAGACTGTATGCAGGCTAACTTTTTTTTATATTCGTTTTTGATTTCATAGTCTATTTTCTTTTAAATCAGAGTAAAATTGGATTTCTTCAAGTTTCAAATCTTATTTTTTAGTTTTGTTTTGACAGCAAAATTTTCTACCTGAATTTGTCAGTTTGTGAATTTGTTCTTTCACCTTCTGGTTAATTGGTTGGCCCAGCCCGGCAAAAACACCAACAGCGTGCGATGTATGGGCGCATTGGTCCGGAACACATAGGTAATATCGTTTAAAAATTTTAAGATCAGGATTTCCGATATTTTCCTTCAACTTCTGCAACCACTCCTTCTTTGTAAATCTGTCAAACTACGAAAGAGGAAATATGCTTTATGGCTGAAAAGAACATTTTTGTTATAGGAAACCTTTACCTTTTACCGAGGTAAGGAAAATCCAGCTGCTCTGTTGCCTTGAAAATTGATTGGGAGTGAAAACAACTGCTTGGCAGCAATTTAATATATTTTCCGGCATATGCTTTCTGTCATAGACATTTTTTTTGATTGTGTAATTATTTTCAGCATCTACTGTATGTAATTCTATTCCAAATAAAATTTAAAAGAGCTATGTTGTGCTTTCGAAAACTACTGTAGATATTCCATTGTTACTTTTAACATTATTATTTAAAAAATCTAAAGTATTCTTACATGTCTGCGACTTTCAGTCTTGGCTTTATCAGATATGTCATAATCTTGGTACACTGTTATAGATCGCACAAAGATCTTTGCAGGACATCCAAGTTTTCGCGAATCTTGCAGCCTCATTCGTCGTTTTTTCCAACTTGGATGATTATTGATGCTCTCCTGAAATTTCACAAATAAAAACCCCCATAATATTTTACACTAAAGTCGTTAAGATTCTTGTATCCTTATCTCCATGATATTTGAAAAAATTTAATTTGTATGCATGCTATTAAAAAATTCTGGATTGCCAAGCATATTATGTGCACAAGCGTCAAAATACCGCTGTCGTTACAAAAAAGAGGCAACGATACAAATTGAAAATAAAGAATAACCTCTGGCGAATCTTCTTTGTTTTTGTCATGTCTGTTCTGTCCGTAAGTACATTCGAGCTGCACATTAGATTCTACTTTAAATGGACTGCCAAAGAATTCTATCGGATTGTGTCCACGCGTGCTCTGCCAAACTGGATCCCCTAGAATGTAAGACAGGATACGATTAACTGTTTTCTTCCCTATCCAGCTTCAATCAAACATCAAGGGTTTTTAAAAAAGGTAGATATATTTTCCAGGCATTGCAGCGATTTGTGATTTCATAAATGTGCATGTCATCTTTCGTCAATCATTAATTGAAGTCCTCTCGGCCGATACCAGCCATAACCACATGGAGGGGGGGGGGGCAGAGAGGCAACATTTTCTTAATATTCACAGTTTCTTATAAAAATACATGTATTCCTTCAATTAACCGTATGGTGGGGGTACTGATGCGAACTTTGAAATCTGAAAACTTACCTTCTGTACGATTTAGCCTTCTCTGCGGTGCTTTTCCCTCTACTCCCTCCGCTGCTGCATTTCTCTGATCTTCATCCCCTTGCTCTTTGTTACTATTTTGCGAAGCATTATTGAGCTGATCCTCACTGTGATAGTTTTTTCTCTCTACTGAAGTTCGCACGCAAAATGAATTTGAACTTACAGCAGAGAAATCATCGAGAAAGTTTTTATAGTTATCTTCCCCGTCTACATAACCTTTGTAGTATTGCCCAACCTTCTCAATGTTCTTGAAGTATGAAGAGATAACCCGGTGAAGAGTAGAAAATAAAGGGGGGCCTATACCCTCCGCCATTTTGGTTCGTATGATTTTCCCGCCAAAAGTTGAAGTAATCTTTTTCCCGCCCATTATGTATGACGTAGTCACAATACTCGTTATTTCTATATTCGCCCTTTTTTGAGTACGAAGCGTTTTCGTGGTTTTCGGCCGAAAACTGGTATGGACTTTGACCATGTATGTCAAAATAGAAAGTCCCTTCTGAATAGAAATCTTATCTAAAACTCGCAGTATATTTATTTTTTACATCTACCCCCTAAGATCCTATGAAAAATCTATATTCATCCTCTCTTTCATTCTCAATTCGAATTATCCCGTTCTAGATAGATATCTTATCTAAAACACGCAGTATATGTATTTCTTTACATGTACCCCCTAAGATCCTATGAAAAATCTAAATTCAGCCTATCTTTTCATTCTCAATTTGAATGATCCCGTTCTGGATAGAAATCTTATCTAAAACACGCAGTATATGTATTTTCTTACATGTACCCCATAAGATCCTATGAAAAATCTAAATCCAGCCTCTTTTTCATTCTCAATTCGAAACATTCCTTTCTGAATAGTAATCTTATCTAAAACTCGCAGTTTATGTATTTTTTACATCTACCCCCTAAGATCCTATGAAAAATCTAAATCCAGCCTCTCTTTCATTCTCAATTCGAATTATCCCGTCCTGAATAGAAATCTTATCTAAAACTCGCAGTATATGTATTTCTTTACAGGAACCTCCTAAGATCCTATGAAAAATCTAAATTCAGCCTCTCTTTTCTTCTCTATTCGAGTTATCCCGTTCTGAATAGAAATCTGATAGAAAACTCGCATTATATGTATTTTTTACATCTACCCCCTAAGATCCTATGAAAAACCTATATCCAGCCTCTCTTTCATTCTCAATTCGAAGTATTCCTTTCTGAATAGAAATCTGATAGAAAACTAGCATTATATGTATTTTTTACATCTACCCCCGAAGATCCTATGAAAAATCTAAATCCAGCCTCTCTTTCATTCTCAATTATTCGAATTCTTCCTTTCTGGATAGAAATCTTATCTAAATCACGCGATATATGTATTTCTTTACATGTACCCCCTAAGATCCTATGAAAAATCTAAATCGAGCCTATCTTTTTATTCTCAATTCGAATTATCCCGTTCTGAATAGAAATCTTATCTAAAATTCGCAGTATATGTATTTTTCTACATGTACCCCCTAAGATCCTAAGAAAATTCTAAATTCAGCCTATCTTTTCATTCTCAATTCAATATATCCCGTTTTGAATAGAAATCTTATCTAAAATACGCAGTTTATGTTTTTTTCACGTGTACCCCCTAAGATCCTATGAAAAATCTAAATCCAGCCTCTCTTTTCATTCTCAATTCGAATTATCCCGTTTTGAATAGAAATCTTATCTAAAATTCGCAGCTTATCTATTCTTTACATGTACCCTCTAAGATCCTATGAAAATTCTAAATTCAGCCTCTCTTTCCATTCTCAATTCGAATTATCCCGTTCTGAATAGAAATCTTATCTAAAAGTCGCAGTATATGTATTTTTCTAAATGTACCCCCTAAGATCCTATCAAAAATCTAAATTCAGCCTCTCTTTTCATTCTCAATTCGAATTATCCCGTTCTAGATAGATATCTTATCTAAAACACGCAGTATATGTATTTCTTTACATGTACCCCCTAAGATCCTATGAAAAATCTAAATTCAGCCTATCTTTTCATTCTCAATTTGAATGATCCCGTTCTGGATAGAAATCTTATCTAAAACACGCAGTATATGTATTTTCTTACATGTACCCCATAAGATCCTATGAAAAATCTAAATCCAGCCTCTTTTTCATTCTCAATTCGAAACATTCCTTTCTGAATAGTAATCTTATCTAAAACTCGCAGTTTATGTATTTTTTACATCTACCCCCTAAGATCCTATGAAAAATCTAAATCCAGCCTCTCTTTCATTCTCAATTCGAATTATCCCGTCCTGAATAGAAATCTTATCTAAAACTCGCAGTATATGTATTTCTTTACAGGAACCTCCTAAGATCCTATGAAAAATCTAAATTCAGCCTCTCTTTTCTTCTCTATTCGAGTTATCCCGTTCTGAATAGAAATCTGATAGAAAACTCGCATTATATGTATTTTTTACATCTACCCCCTAAGATCCTATGAAAAACCTATATCCAGCCTCTCTTTCATTCTCAATTCGAAGTATTCCTTTCTGAATAGAAATCTGATAGAAAACTAGCATTATATGTATTTTTTACATCTACCCCCGAAGATCCTATGAAAAATCTAAATCCAGCCTCTCTTTCATTCTCAATTATTCGAATTCTTCCTTTCTGGATAGAAATCTTATCTAAATCACGCGATATATGTATTTCTTTACATGTACCCCCTAAGATCCTATGAAAAATCTAAATCGAGCCTATCTTTTTATTCTCAATTCGAATTATCCCGTTCTGAATAGAAATCTTATCTAAAATTCGCAGTATATGTATTTTTCTACATGTACCCCCTAAGATCCTAAGAAAATTCTAAATTCAGCCTATCTTTTCATTCTCAATTCAATATATCCCGTTTTGAATAGAAATCTTATCTAAAATACGCAGTTTATGTTTTTTTCACGTGTACCCCCTAAGATCCTATGAAAAATCTAAATCCAGCCTCTCTTTTCATTCTCAATTCGAATTATCCCGTTTTGAATAGAAATCTTATCTAAAATTCGCAGCTTATCTATTCTTTACATGTACCCTCTAAGATCCTATGAAAATTCTAAATTCAGCCTCTCTTTCCATTCTCAATTCGAATTATCCCGTTCTGAATAGAAATCTTATCTAAAAGTCGCAGTATATGTATTTTTCTAAATGTACCCCCTAAGATCCTATGAAAGATCTAAATCCAGCCTCTTTTTCCATTCTCAATTCGAATTATCCCGTTCTGAATGGAAATCTTATCCAGAATACCCAGTTTATGTATTTTTTTTCATGTACCCCCTAAAATCCTATAAAAAATCTAAATCCAGCCTCTCTTTTCATTCTCAATTCGAATTATCCCGTTTTGAATAGAAATCTTATCTAAAATACGCAGTTTATGTTTTTTTCACCTGTACCCACTAAGATCCTATGAAAAATCTAAATCCAGCCTCTCTTTTCATTCTCAATTCGAATTATCCCGTTTTGAATAGAAATCTTATCTAAAATACGCAGTTTATGTTTTTTTCACGTGTACCCACTAAGATCCTATGAAAAATCTAAATCCAGCCTCTCTTTTCATTCTCAATTCGAATTATCCCGTTTTGAATAGAAATCTTATCTAAAATTCGCAGTTTATGTTTTTTTCACGTGTACCTACTAAGATCCTATGAAAAATCTTGATTCAGCCCCTCTTTTCATTCTCAATTCGATATATCCCGTTTTGAATAGAAATCTTATCTAAAATACGCAGTTTATGTTTTTTTCACGTGTACCTACTAAGATCCTATGAAAAATCTAAATCCAGCCTCTCTTTTCATTCTCAATTCGAATTATCCCGTTTTGAATAGAAATCTTATCTAAAATTCGCTGTGTATGTATTCTTTTACATGTACCCCCTAAGATCCTATGAAAATTCTACATTCAGCCTCTCTTTTCATTCTCAATTCGAATTATCCCGTTCTGAATAGAAATCTTATCTAAAATACGCAAATTATGTTTTTTTCTACATCTACCCCCTAAGATCCTATAAAAAAATCTAAATCCAGCCTCTCTTTCATTCTTAATTCGAATTATCCCGTTCTGAATAGAAATCTTATCTAAAATTCGCAGTATATGTACTTTTCTACATATACCCACTAAGATGCTATGAAAAAAACTAAATTCAGCCTCTCTTTTCATTCTCAATTCGAATTATTCCGTTCTGGATAGAAATCTTATCTAAAATACGCAGTTTATGTTTTTTTCTCGTGTACCCCTTAAGATCCTATGAAAAATCTAAATCCAGCCTCTCTTTTCTTTCCCAATTCGAATTATCCCGATCTGAATAGAAATCATATCTAAATCTCGCAGTATATGTATTTTTTTACATGTACGCCCTGAGATTCTATGAAAAATCTAAATCCAGCCTCTCTTTTCATTCTCAATTCGAATTATCCCGTTCTGGATAGAAATCTTATCTAAAACACGCGATATATGTATTTCTTTACATGTACCCCCTAAGATCCTATGAAAATTCTAAATCGAGCCTATCTTTTTATTCTCAATTCGAATTATCCCTTTCTGAATAGAAATCTTATCGAAAATACGCAGTTTATGTTTTTTTCTCGTGTACCCCTTAAGATCCTATGAAAAATCTAAATCCAGCCTCTCTTTTCTTTCCCAATTCGAATTATCCCGATCTGAATAGAAATCATATCTAAATCTCGCAGTATATGTATTTTTTTACATGTACGCCCTGAGATTCTATGAAAAATCTAAATCCAGCCTCTCTTTTCATTCTCAATTCGAATTATCCCGTTCTGGATAGAAATCTTATCTAAAACACGCGATATATGTATTTCTTTACATGTACCCCCTAAGATCCTATGAAAATTCTAAATCGAGCCTATCTTTTTATTCTCAATTCGAATTATCCCTTTCTGAATAGAAATCTTATCGAAAATACGCAGTTTATGTTTTTTTCTCGTGTACCCCTTAAGATCCTATGAAAAATCTAAATCCAGCCTCTCTTTTCTTTCCCAATTCGAATTATCCCTTTCTGAATAGAAATCTTATCTAAAATTCGCAGTATATGTATTTTTCTACATGTACGCCCTAACATCCTATGAAAATTCTAAATTCAGCCTCTCTTTTCATTCTCAATTCGATATATCCCGTTTTGAATAGAAATCTTATCTAAAATACGCAGTTTATGTTTTTTTCACGTGTACCCCCTAAGATCCTATGAAAAATCTAAATCCAGCCTCTCTTTTCATTCTCAATTTGAATTATCCCGTTTTGAATAGAAATCTTATCTAAAATTCGCAGCTTATGTATTTTTTACATGTACCCTCTAAGATCCTATGAAAATTCTAAATTCAGCCCCTCTTTCCATTCTCAATTCGAATTATCCCGTTCTG